ATTTTCCGGAGTGCTGTGTTTGCTGTCATCGGCGGGATAATTACTGTGGTGGTTTTAAAGTTGTTGGAGAATGAAGGAACAGCGGCGCAGAAAGACATCACAGAAGAGGATGATCTAAACGAAGCTGAGAAGCAGCCACAAGAAAATGACGAGAGGTTGTGCTGAGAGAAGGTGTGTATGTTTTTCATATATCCATTGGCAAGAAACAAAGAAATATTATTTCTATTAAAAGTATTGATAACCCTCTAACAGCTGAAGAAAGTAGGCATTATACAAGCCTTTCGCGAATTTATTAGCGAACATTTCACCATTTTGGTAGTTTTGTAAACTTGCGTTAAGCACCATTTCTCATTTCTTTGGAACGTTCGGTTCTATGTATTGCAATTGTAAATTCAAATATAGTTTTGGTTTTTTTTCTTTTTCAATCTAAGAAGCTATAGAAAATATCCCGGGAAAGGCGTGCGCTCCTTGTTTTTCACATGCACGTTTTTACGCCCCCGGCTGTATGAGTACTTAGAGAGAATTGGTGCTTGTCGAAGCAAATATTTTACAGACCAAGTTTGTTCTCTAGCGCTGACAGCGTCACGTGTCTTTGTGTGCGTCATTTGCGGTTTGTTACACAAGCATTAGCATAAGCGCAAATTCTGTTGGCAGATAGAATTGACTGCTGACCATTTCGTACAGTAGCTGGCGTTAGAGAGTTTTAAGGACGCTCTCTACTTTGGAAAGTACGCACACGGTCCGCCCATCCACTACGCAACCTAGACTTGCCACAAGTCGACCTTTTCTTAAACCTTGACTTACTTATCTCGAGCGACGAGCGTAATTTTTGAGCGACGAAATCGCGAGGGCGAGCGCGAAACTAACAATGGAAGTATCATTGGAAAGGACTTTTAGAAAGTCTGTACGCAACCAAGCGCGACTAAAATACAAGTAAAATTGTCCTGTTCTGACTAAATCAAGTTTTTAAAACCAGGAGCACCAGATTGACGGTCACCTAACCCAATCTGCTCAGGGCTTACCGCTAAAACTCTAACCCTAAATCATCTCTTGTAGTATTTTCTAATAAAAATTATTTCTGCTTAGTATTGTCCATTTATAAGTAGACATTGCAAGTTCAGTATATAATTCAAAAAAAAAAATTGAACTTGAGTGAATTCACTTCTTTCAATAAAGTCATATCTACCAGTTTGTGTTTTGATTTACACTCAAGCCATGTTGATCCAGTAGGATAACAATAACATGCTTTCCTCATTTTCTCTCAGCAGACAAGGATGACCGCACAAGACTGAGAAAAGAATTCAAAATAGAACTATAAACACTAGCTCTTGCAAATTGTTGAAAAATCGAAAATTAGGAAAGGAAATGACATAACTCTCTTTGGAGGAG